AAAGAGAGAAACTGATAGAGTAAGGAATAATGGTGAAATCAGTTACCTTTGTAATTAATGTGATGCATACACAGTTGCTCTCAAGCTTGAACTAAACAATCTCTTTTTTTGGAAATTAACGTAATACATACACTTTGCTGTAAGCTTAACCTAATGTTTGGTTTATTTTCTTTCCTCAGTTGCTTAACACTATAACACTACACCATCTTATTTGGGCATTAAGAAAATACTAGGTGAAGAAGATGACTCAGATCTATTTTAATTCTCTTTTGTGTGAGGCAAGATGAAGTGGGCTGGAGATTTCTTTGTTAGGCAGATTGTAGGTTCAGTCATGATCATATTTCATACTTACATGGAATTTAAACCAAATAAATACTGCAGTTCCCATTTCTTAAATGGTCAATGAATTCTGCTCTGGAAAAATACATACTGGATTTTATTTTTTTTCCCAATTTTGTCTGCAGTTTTCATCTCTAAAAATATCTTGTTTGTGCCTTCAGAAAAAAATAAATCAGAGAGTAAACCAAATAGGAATGATTAATTCTCCCCTTCATTACTCATTTTACTTCAGCTATTGAAAGGCTCTTGCATACTCTCTGACCTGTAATACAGGTATAAGGGGATGTACAGTGACAGTTGTTGATGCCATCAGCAGCAATAGTCAGAGAAGAGGTGCAGATTCACATGTATAGAAGAATTCAGGAACCAGACTTGCTTATTAATGGCAATATGTATTGAGGATCAGCCATTAAATCTTATGTTTCAGGATTTAAGAACATTTCTTGGAGATTAGAATAAAATCTATGAGGGGAAATATTATCTCAAATATGCTTTATGCTTTGTTTCATATGTCAAATTACAACAAACTTTTTTGAGCTAACTCATGTTAGCTCAGCACAGCCTCAACATTTTGGCTAAACTGGCTGTAGCCAGTTTTTCCCAACAATTTCTATGTGTTTCTAAGAAAGATAAGAAGAATCCCATAATATTAGTGAATTCTTAAATTTTACTATTTAGCACTCTGGGAAGTGCCTCTAAATTGACATAAATTGACATCTATAAATATACTGAATAATGATTTTTTTTTTAAAATTTTTGTTCCCCTCAAAAAAAAAAAAAAAAAAAAATTGGACAGTGACATAGAATCCATTTGCTTTAGTTCTCTATCCCAATATTAATTAAGTCTCTTGGAATCATTCTAAACCCAGTAATAGACCCTTTTGAAAATCTTTTAGCACTAGCAAAAACATTAAAAGATAACTATCTAAGTATTTAAAAAATCACATTCTTTCATAAATACCCATGATTCAGAGAAAGAATAGGTAATTTCATCCATTATATACAAAATGTAGGGTAATTGCTGTTTAATATTACCATTTTTCTCTTTTCTTTTCTTAATTATTTCCAAGGAATGAATCTCTTTAAAAAAACACGAAATAAAGCTAGCATGGTAGGAATTCAGAGGTTGCAGATTCAACAGAAAACAGCAGTTTTTTGTGTCTTACACAGCTACTCATTGAATTCTATAAAAGTACAAAGAAACTATTGAGAGCTTCAGTATTGACAAACTGAATATAAGGAGTGTTCTTTTGGGCAAGCATTAAAGTTTTCCATCTTGCTTTCATATCACTGTTCATTTGAGATATTGATCCACTGAATAATGCTTACAACTGTGACATTTTTGCTTTATGCCATTTCTTGGGGAATAAGCTAGTGTAAAAAATTACTTTGGAATAAATGGAATATAACCATACTAAAACTTTAGAAACTTGTAGATTTGGGCTTTTTTATTTTAATTTTTTCCCAGTGGGCAACATAGTAAAATTTGTACTACAAATAAGACATACAGGAATTTAGCTTGCTTCACGTGAGGACTTAAGAATTATAAGACTATTTACATAATATGCAAGCACACAGAAGTTACCATTTCTACTTGAAATTGAATTCCATGTTGAAAACCAGTACTGAGCATCACCTCCAAGCATGTACTTTACAGATTGCAGTATAAAAATAGATTAGTTGTCTTTATGTGCTTACCATCTGTTTCCATGCACCATTGAGAGCCATTGCCCTGTGCAGAATTTCAAGAGCCACAGGATTCCCACTGACCTCATGTCTTAGGAGTGCAGCAACACCAACATCACATGTACAACTACAGAGCTGGTAGTGTGTATAATACGAAATTGTAATGTCAGTCAAATTAGGAAGATAGTCTTGAGACATCTCTTATTCTATAAAGACTGTGTAAGGGAATTCAGCTACTTAACATTACTGTTTGTATTTTTATTAAGAAATGCAGTAAAAATAAGACTACTATCCTTACCTTAAACCTTAGCTGAAAGTGTACATTTAGGTAAATAACATAAATATGCTGGAGCCACTACTGTATTGTTTAAATTTCACTTTAAAAAGAACTGCCGATGTATAAAACCAATCATCTGTTCAACATAACTATGTAAAGAAGGGAAGTTGTACCTATATGTTTATGTTACACTATTGTCTTCAATGTAGGACAAACTCTGCCGAGATTTTTCCCTGTGAAACCATGCTGTTACATGCTTATTGTTAATTCACTGCTCCTTCAGAAAGCAGCACTGAAATGTGCGTTTTTCTACTGACCTTTAGCAGTTTACTTCAGTCTTTGGAGTGGGAGTGAAGACATCTGAGAAATGGTACAGAATGGGTTTACGAACTCTGGAAGATGTAAAAGCTGACAAGACCCTGAAGCTGTCAAAAATGCAGAAAGCGGGTAAAGTGAATGTTTCATAAAAACTTGTATCTAAGAATTTGATAGCAGATCAGAAGAGGTGGCAAAAGTTCATTTATGCACCCATTTTCTTGCTGCAGTGTCTTGAGAATATTAAATCATTAGGTTAAAAAAACTTTTGGATTAACAGAGCTCCTAATTAAAAATGGTGTCATTCAAAATATATGATTTCTTTTTTTTTAATTGCTTACACGGATGTCCAATGAAATCTGCCACTATACACAAAATTTTTGAAGGGTCATTATTGCACAAGTCATGAAAAATTTACATTAGGAAACCAGAACTACTTTTCAGAGGAGACCTGTCTCCTCTGATGCAGTGATAAATCAGTTTTGTAATAAAGTACTTGTAAAAGTACTTCCATAATCCTAGCACATCTTAATTTTAAACTGTTAAGCATGGAGACCTCATTGCAGCCTTCCAGTATCCGAAGGGGACCTACAAGGATGCTGTGGAGGGACTCTTTTAGGGACTGTAGTGGTAGGGCAAGCTTTAATGGGTTCAAACTTAAACAGGGGAAGTTTAAGTTAGATGTAAGGAAGGAGTTCTTTACTGCGAAGGTGATGAGGCACTAGAATGGGTTACCCAAGGAAGTTGTGAATGCTCCATCCCTGGCAGTGTTCAAGGCCAGGCTGTATGGAGTCCTGGGTGACATGGTTTAGTGTGA